GTCTGAGAAGATGCAGAAACTGCAGCTGAGAAATTTAGTTTTTTAGTTTTAGTGTTTAACAACACTTAGCAACCGCAGCTGGTGTGCGGCTCCCATAGCCCACACTGCAGGGTCTGGGTTCCAGCCCTGGCCCCTCCCCTGACTCCAGCTTCCTGCAAAGCGCACCCCAGGAGGCAGCAGGTGCCGGCTCCCCACCAGCCACGTGGGATTCGGGTCTGCGCTCCTGGCCCATCCCCACCGCCCGCTGTGGCTGGCCCAGCCTGCTGCAGGCACCTGAGGGGTGAGTCAGTGCGCGAGAGCGGCTCTGTCTTCTCCCTGTCCCTGTCTCTTCTTCTCAAATGAACAAGTGCAATAATCAAGTCATTACAGTAATAGTGATTTCAAGCAGCGTCTCAATGGAGAGTCTCTGCAAACCCCTAAGCAGGCTGGGTGTTGTGGCGCGGCCTCAGGCAGCCACAGGACACCTGCGTCCCTTCAGAGCAGCTGGTTCGAGTCCTGGCTTTGCCTCCACCCCACCTTCCCAATAATGCACTCTCTGGGTGGCAGCAGATCATGGCCCCAGTGCTGGGGTCCTTGTATCCACACGGGGGACCGGGCTGAGTCCCCCGTCACAGGCGTCAGCCTCCCAAGCCCCAGCTGTTGCGGGTGTCTGGGGAGGGAATCAGCAGAGGGAAGAGCTGTCTGCTTCCTCTCTGGAGCTTTGCTTTTCAAATAAATAAAACACAAATAAACCAAAACCCTCAGTAACTGTTACACTGAAGGCTGAAACAGTGAAAGCCATCCTCCTGATATTGGGAATAAGACAACATCCATTCTCACCACACCACCATTCGACTTTAATACTGGAGAGCCTCGCCAGTGCAGCAGGGCAAAAAAAAAGAAAAACAGAGGGCTGGCGCTGTGGTGAAGTAGATAAAGCCACCGCCTGCAGTGCTGGGCACCGGTTCGAGACCCGGCAGCTCTACTTCCCATCCAGCTCTCTGCTATGGCCTGGGAAGGCAGTGGAGGATGACCGAAGTCCGTGGGCTCCTGCACCTGTGTAGGAGACCTGGAAGAAGCTCCTAGTTCCTGGCTTCGGATCGGCGCAGCTCCGGCCATTGCGGCCATCTGGGGAGTGAACCAGCGGATGGAAGACCTCTCTCTCTGTCTCTCTCTCTCTACCTCTCTCAGTGTAACTCTGTCTTTCAAATAAATAAAATAATTTTTTTTAAGATTTATTTATTTGAAAGTCAGAGTTACACTGAGAGAGGGGAGGCAGAGAGAGAGAAAGGTCGTCTATTCCTCTGGTTCACGCCCCTATTGGCCACAAGAGCCAGAGCTGCATAGATCCAAAGCCAAGAGCTTCTTCCAGGTCTCCCACACAGGTGCAGGGCCCAAGGACTTGGGTCATCCTCCACTGCTTTCCCAGGCCATGGCAGAGAGCTGGATCGGAAGAGGAACAGGAGGGACTAGAACCGGCGCCCACATGGGATGCTGTCACTGCAGGCCACAGCATTAATCCGCTGTGCCACAGCGCCGGCCCCTAAAATAAATCTTTAAAAAAAAAAAAAAAACCTAAAGCTTCCGCTTATCAAAAGACACAACTGAGTGAAAGGCAAACACAGAAGTAAAAACAACCATATGTGTACACTCACATACATGTACACTCACATACATGTACTCAGAATAAAGAATTCTCAGATCGATTGCAGAAGAGACTGCCCCGGCTGGCGCTGCTGCATAGTAGGCTCAGCCTCCGCCTGCGGCACTGGCATCCCATACGGACGCTGGCTCACGTCCGGCTGCTCCTCTTCTGATCCAGCTCTCTGCCAATGGCCTAGGAAAGCAGCAGAGATGGCCCAAGTACCTGGGCCCCCGCACTTGCTCTCACGTGGGAGACCTGGAAAAAGCTCCTGACTTCCAGCTGGCCCAGCTCGGGTCCTTGTGGCCATCGGGGGAGGAACCAGCAGATGAAGACCCTTCTCCCAACTCTACCTCTCAAATAAAAAAAATAAATAAATAAAAACTTTAAAAAAAAAAAAAAAGGGCTGGCGCTGTGGCCCAGTGGGTTAAAGCCCTGGCCTGAAGCGTCGGCATCCCATATGGGCGCCGGCTGCTCCTCTTCTGATCCAGCTCTCTGCTGTGGCCTGGGAAAGCAGTGGAGGATGGCCCAAGTCCTTGGGCCCCTGCACCTGCGTAGGAGACCCGGAAGAAGCTCCTGGCTCCTGGCTTTGGATTGGCGCAGCTCCGGCCACTGCGGCCATTTGGGGAGTGAGCCAGCGGATGGAAGACCTCTCTCTCTGTCTCTGCTTCTCTCTGTAACTTTCAAGTAAATAAAATAAATCTTTTGAAACAAAAACAAAAACAAACAAAAAAACAGAAAACAGACTGCCCCATGCACAAAGGGGCAAAAGGCCATTTCCTCACAAAAGCCCTCCAAACGCTGACGGACACAGAGCAGCTCTGCTTGCACGCACACGGGCTGGCAGGGCCCAGGAGCCGAGCTGATGACCTGCCCTGACACCGCCCAAACTGCTGGGAAAAAATACCAATACCACCAGAGGCTGGGGAACACGCACACAGCGGCCTTTCTCGTGCCTGGATTGTCACTGGCACCCTCCTGGCTGGGTCCCCCTACTACGGCAGGACACACACACAGGCCGGCACTCTTCAAGTCCACTCCTCTGTGCAAACCCAACACAAACGTACAGGAGTCCCGAGGACAGCATCTGTAAGAACGGGCAACAACGAACAGTGACCTACCACTGTTCCCAGAGAGCAGGTGGGGACGCGCACTCTGTTCCAAGCCCACGACTCTGACATAACCAGAGGGAAGAATCAAGAAACGAAACACCACATTATTTCATGACTACATAAAGAACAGGTGTATGTAGCCTGTGACGAGAAGTCAAGCCCATGGCCATCTCCAGGGACAGCTGCTGGGAGCGGGCGGGAGGGCTTCCCAGGAACCCGTTTCAGTCCGGTTCTGCTGCCGTAACAGCACAGACCAGGTGACTCAGAGAGCCTTATTTCTCACTGTTCTAGACACCGCAAGTCCAAGAGCATCACGCTAGCATCTGACCTGGGCCTTGATGCTGCCTCCTCTCAAGGCAGAAGGGCAGGTGGCCAGGTAACACAGAGAGGATGAGGGCCACCCCACTCCCATAGTGACTAACCCACTCCGACAACTACCCCACCCCCAATAACCCGCTCCCATAGTGACTAACCTGCCCTCATGATGGCTAACCAACTCTCACAACAACCCGCTTCCACACAGCCTGCTCCCATGATAACTAACCCCTCACACAATAACCCGCTCCCATAACTAACCCGCCCTCATGATGGCGAACCTGCTCTCACGATAACTAACCTGCTCCCACAGTGACGTCCTCAATCCATGATGAGGGCGGAGCCCGGGCCTGACCTGACCACGTCTCCCAGGTCCCCAGTACTACACGCAGCCAGCAAATCTCGGCAGGCGGTCGGGAGGACGTCCGACCTCAGCCCCGGCAGCGCCCAGGCTCTGGGTGAGGGCGCTGATTCTGGACGGCGCTGCCTGTGAAATCCACCGAGATGGACACTTCCGATCGGGGAAGCCTTCTGACGCAGGCGGCAGCTATGTTTTCTGTAGCATTCTCCGGCTTGCTTATCTGGCCACACAATTAGCCAGCGAAGCCCAGCCAGATTCCAGGAAGAGAGAAGGAACAAAACAAGTCCCCTGGCTGCTTTCGGCGGTGCTGCAATCAGGCGCTGACGTGAACCGGCGGCGTCACCTTCAGCCAACCAGGCCTCTCCAGAAAGATCCCGGGCGCCGCCGCCCGCGGAGGCTCCGTGTGCCACACACTGCCACCGGCCTGCTCTCCTGCGTGCCCCCACCCGGTAACTACCTCATCAAACACCCGCGTGTCGGACGCACTGTCGTGGGTGCCGTATCCATGACCAAAACACGAAACTGCGGAAAAGACCTACAAGCACGTACAGTAAAATCCCGCACAACACGGGCCGGCCAATTCTTTGACGTTTTTGGCATTAAAATCTGACCTAAACAAAGTTGGTAGTTTATAAGACTTGAAAGAGAAAAATCTTAATGAATTCTCTAACGCACAACAAACCACTAACATCGAGTTGCGATGGCTAAAAAGGAACTCTGAATGTCTGCTCGTCGTGTTCAGGACGGCCGAGGACGGCCGAGAAGGGCACCGGGGCAGCAGTCCTGCACCTGCTCACTCGTCAGAGCGCCCTGGAGCCACCGCGAAGGCACCTCTATGGATAAGGAACGCGGCGTGCAGACAGCTCGCGGACCCCCAGCAACCACGCATCCCCACTGTGCTCTGGGCGGCCCACCCGCCCTCGTCTCCTTCCCCTACCACTGAACCCCACTCAGCTCCGCAGGACACGCCCTGAGAGGTCAAACAGCCTCAGCTGTTTCAAGTTCCCCTGGGGTCAACCTCCAGTCTCCCAGCTCCTGAAACAAACCTGACCCACAAAACACAGCTGTCCAGTCCAGGGCAAAGCCCAGCTGTCTGTCTACCAGACGCCTCAGGGGAACTGCAGGTCGGTGGGACAGAATCCGCAGGAAATTCACACTCTGCATGGAAAGCCCAGAGACGGCAGACGGAGAGGGCTGCCCACGCCAGGCCCGAGCAACATGGGAGGACGGAGAGGGCTGCCCACACCCAGGCCCGAGGACAGAGGGCGCTGTCCACGTCAGACCCGGAGACGGGAGGACGGAGGGCACTGTCCACACCAGGCCCGAGCGAGACGGGAGGACGGAGGGCGCTGGCCACGCCAGGCCCGAGCGCGGAAAGGCAGGGCGCGGCTGCTGTCCCGAGGAGCTGGCCCCGAGCAACGCTGCGGCAAGCACAACCGTCAGCAGCCGCGGCCACAGCCGCCCGGAGCCGCGCCGCGCCATGGCCACAGCGGCCCGGAGCCGCGCCGCGCCACGCCATGGCCACAGCGGCCCGGAGCCGCGCCGCGCCATGGCCACAGCGGCCCGGAGCCGCGCCGCAGGGCGCCCTCACCTGCGGCAGCGCGGTGTTGAGCTGCCTCTGCAGAGAGTCCCTCTCGTGGCCGACCTCGTGCAGCTTGCCCTGCGTCAGCGCCAGCGTCTCCTGGGTCTCTCTCAGCGTGTCCAGAAGACGGTCCCTCTCTTCCAGCATGGACACCATCAGCTGCTCGAAGTGCGAGTCGGCGTCGGGCTGGGCCGGGGAGCCGGCCCCATGGCTCCCGCTGCCTCCCGGGGGGCCTTCTGCCTCACTGATGGTCGGCATCACCTCACACATCATCTGCAAGACAGGCAGCAGCCCGGTCATCCGGGGCACACACCTGCACCCGGCTGTCCCCACTCCCAGTCCTGCCTGCTTGCAGGGGGTCGGCAGAGACGCCCGGGGCCGCGACCAGCGAGGACCCAGAGCGGACCCAGAGCGGCCCGCGGGGTGCTGTGCCCGCAAGGCTCCGCTCTCTCCGCGTGCTTCTGGTACCTGACTTTCCTGCCGCCCGGCTCGGGGCCGGGGCAGGAAGGGCAGAGAGGGGGCATCGCACGGGAACGCGTGCGGTCGGCTCGCGAATGCCGGGCTGCACCTGGGAACCGGGTCCGGGGAGGGCGGGCAGAGGTGTTTCTCCGCGGCTGCCGTGGTTGGTCAGTCAACCTCGCTTACGTCAGTTTACAGCCCAAAAAAAATAAACCTGGGGGAGGCGGGGGTGGAAATTCCACGCGGGACGGCCAGCGAGGAAGCCAGGAAAAGTGAAAGGCGAGCTGACCAGAGGCTATTAGGTGTCTCCGGCGGAAAGGCCGGGCACCGCTCCGGAGGCTGCCGGGGCACCGCGACCCCCGAGAGCCAGCAGCCCAGCGCCGCGCACCTGGCGGGCGCCGGCCACCGCCAACCGCTCGCACCTCCGTCCCCTCCCGCGTCAGGTGCCGCACAAGCCCCAGCACCCGGGGGTGCTCGGAGCCCCTGGGACAGGGCCCGCCCGCCGTGGCCACAGGTCCTCGCCCCTGCCCCCGGCGCTGGGGTCACCACGGCGCCGCGGTCAGCGCGCGGCCCCCAGGGCTGAGCCCCCCGGGGAGCAGCGGGGCGCCGAGCTGGGTGGGGGCTCCCCGCCGAGGGCCGCGCCCCCAGCCGCGCCCCCGCGGCGTCCCGGCCCCCCAGGTGACACTCCGTCCGCGGGGACGGCCCGGCCGGCGCCGGGCGCCCCGGGCCCCGCGCCCGCCTCAGCCCCCCGCTCCTCACCTTGCTGGCCGGCGGCAGCGGGCGACGAGGCTCCGCGGCGGCTCGCTGCGGGCGAGCTCAGGGGCCGACGAAGGCAGCCGCGGGCAGCTCGCGCCCGCCCGCCCCACGCCGCGGCCCCGCGGCCCGCCGCCCGTCACGAAGGCCGGCCAGCGGCCGGACACTGGCGGAGCGCAGGAGGAGCGGGCCCGGCTGCGCGTCGCCGGCGTCAACGTGCCCGACGTCCGGCGCGTCGGCGCGAGCGTCAGCACCGCCCCGGGGGAGGGGCCCCGGGGCGCCGCGGCCGCGAGTGCGCAGGCGCCGCGGCCTCGGGAGGCAGTGGGCGGGGCCGCTAGGGCGCCGATTGGCTGGGCGTTGCGGAGGCTCCGCCCCGCCCCGCCCCGCCCACACGGGTCCCCGGGCGGAGCCACAGGTGGGAGCCGCGGAGCCAGGTGGCCGCTGTAGCTTCCGCCTGCGTGCTGCCCCCGAGTCTCCCGCAGCCGTGCGAGCGCGGGAGGCCTTTGCCCCCGCGCCGGCGGTGTGCCAGGTCCCGAGCCAGAGCTCCCCGGACGTCACGTCGGCGCTCCGCTCCCGGGGCTGGCGCTGCTACTCGCCACCTTGCGTGAGAGCGAACCGCGACCTCCGACGCCCGCTGACAGCCGGGCCCGGACCCCGCCGCGTCGGTCCCGGAGCGGCCCCGGGCGGATCCTTACAGGGCGGGCGGGACGCGGCGGCCCCGCCAGACCCACGTTCCGACGCTACATGCCGCACCTGGGGCGGCCAAGACCAGCAGCGTCGGATTTCGAGGCTCACGGGCGCCGTGCGGGGACGTGCAGGCTTCGCAGGCACGGCTGGTTCAGCCACCGGCCGCTCCTGTCCCTGGACAGCTCCGGGATGCAGGACCTGCGCCGTGGGAGGCACCTCCGAGCTGCCCTCGGGGGCCGGGCCTTTGAGAGCCCAGCAGGTGCGGAACCGGGCAGGGGAAGCCCTCCTGCGAGTCGTGCGTGACCAGTCACCCTTTCCGCAAGCGCCTAAAAAAGCGCCTGCCGCGTGCCACATCCCACGCAAAAGTGGCGGGTCCCAGCGTTCAGGAACGCACGCGTGCCCGCCCCCTGCACGGTCGGGCGCAGAGAGCGCAAGGTCTTCATAAACCAAAACGATAGGGCAGCGGCTGCGGCCCCACTGGCCTCTGGGTGCTGGTGTGCAGCCAGGAGCCGCACCCGAACCCTCCAGGTGATCCCTCGAATCTCCATGGGTCAGACCACCTAGAACAAGCACTGGGTGACCAGGGACCACACACGAACCCGAATCTGCATCTCTGCCCCAGCTCTTTGCCATGTTAAAATTGTACAAAAAAAAAAAAAAAAAACCCACCACTTAGGTCTGCGATTCTGCAGGGGTGCAGGGGTGCCCGGTTCTCCGAACCAGGGTCTGGATCACTGATTTGCAGCTCTCCTGAGGGTCAGCGGCTCAGCGCACCCAGCCCGTGTTTGCCCATGGCTCACCACGGCGCCGCCTCCTTGGAAACGGGCACCGAAATGAAATGTGGTTCTGCCATGGGGAGCCTGCATCGGATTCATGAACACGTGTGGGACATGTGTGAGCGCGGGATGGCCCAGGTCTAGGAACACGGATCGGCTTCGTGAACACGTGTGGGACATGTGTGAGCGGGGGATGGCCCGGGTCTAGGAACACGGAAGTAGCCTGGGCCTGCGGGGGGCGGAGAGAACCCCACTGCAATGGTGTCTGCTGGGGGTGGGGGGGACCTGGTGCTGCAGAACCAGCTCGGCGCCACGGCGGGCCTCACGGCGGAGGCAGGTCTCAGCCACAGAAAGCAGAAACCCACTGGGGCTTACGGGAAAGCGGCCATTTGGCTCCCGGAAGACGAGAATCTCGGGTTACATTCGTTTTCATTCATCCATTTCATTCATCCAGATGACAGAATGGTAAGAGGAAAGCTGTGACAGCCAAATGGCTTGCAGAAGAGAGATTGGTTAAATCCTGTGTACTTCCAAATGGCAGGAAACTTGGTAGCATTCACTTGGCGGGGCCAAATGGAAGCCGGGAGCCAGGAGCTCCGTCCAGGTCTCCCACGTGGGGGGCAGGGACCTAATTACTTGGGCCATCACGGCTGCCTCCCTGGGGTCTGCCTTAGCAGCAAGCTGAGTAGGGATGTGACCCAGTCACTGCTTGTGAGATGCAGGCCCCCAACCTGTGTTTCAGCCACGAGGCCGGATCCTGGCCCCGTGCTTTGGTTTTATCATTAGGAAAGACAAAAATCCCACAGACGTGACTCCACTGAAACCGCGCCAAGAAGGAGCCGTGAGAATTGCCGTCAGGAGCCAAAGCGGCTTGTGCTGTGGTTACTGACAGCTCCCGGCTAACCACGTGCCAGAGGCGTTGCCTGAGGAACACTCCGAGGTTGGGTGGTATGCTTCCACGGTTCGTCAGGAAAACTCCGAACACGGAACATGTTTTCTCCCTCGTTCCTCTGATAAAGGCTGGGTAAAGGGGCCGGCACTGTGGCACAGCAGGTTAATGCCCTGGCCTGCAGCGCTGGCATCCCACATGGGCACCAGTTTGAGACCCAGCCGCTCCACTTCTGATCCAGCTCTCTGCTGTGGCCTGGGAAAGCAGTACAAGATGGCCCAAGTCCTTGGGCCCCTGCACCTGTGTGGGAGACCCAGAAGAAGCTCCTGGCTCCTGGCTTTGGATTGGTGCAGCTCCAGTCTTTGCAGCCAACTGGGGAGTGAATCAGCAGATGGAAGACCTCTCTCTCTCTCTCTCTCTCTCTCTCTCTCTCTCTCTTTCTCTGCCTCTCCTCTCTCTGTGTAACTCTGACTTTCAGATAAATAAATAAATCTTAAAAAAAAAAAAAAAAAGGCTGGGTAAAGAGATGACAGTGAGGGCTGGCGCTGTGGTACAGCCGGTCAAGTCCCTGCCTGCAAAGCTGGCATCCCATGTGGGCACCAGTTCAAGTCCCAGCCACTCCACTTCCCATCAGCTCTCTGCTGTGGCCTGGGAAAGCAGTGGAAGATGGCCCAACTCCTTGGGCCCCTGCACCCACGTGGGAGACCCGGAGGAAGTTCCTGGCTCCTGGCTTCAGCCTGGCCATTATGGACATTTGGAGAGTGAACTAGTGGATAGAAGACTTCTCTGTCTTGCTGTAAATCTGCCTTCAAATAAACAATAAAAAATATTTTTAAAAGAAGAAGTTCTGGTAGTTGGACTCTACAAATGTTGTTACCCCACCGGGGGTTTTGTGAAGCGGGCCGCCCCGAGCCGGTCAGCCTGTGCTGTCCCAGCACCTGGCGAACACGGTCGTCCTGGGCTGGCGTGTGGCTTGTCCCCGGAGGCTCGCGTGCTGGAAGCCTGGGGGGGAGGGGGAAGGGCTGGCGCTGTGGCTCCCAGGCTAAGCTGCAACGTGCTGTGCCCTAATCCCCTCTCAAAACGTTTGTTCAAGTCCCAGCTGCTCTCATTCCTCATCCAGCTCCCTGCTAGTGCTGGGGAGAGCAGGGGAAGGCGGCCTGAGTACGTGGGCCCCAAGTACTGGGTCTGCCCATGTGGGAGCCCCGGACTTCAGCCCGGCCCATCCCGCACTGCTGTGGCCATTTGGGGAGTGAATAAGCAGACGGAACATCTCTCTCTCTCTCTCTTCTCTCTCTCTCTCTCCCTCTCTCTGTCACTTTGGCATTCAAAGGCAGAATTACAGAGACGGAGGAGCAGAGGCTGAGAGAGAGAGAGGTCTTTCATCTGCTGGTTCACTCCCCAAATGGCCACAACAGCCAGGACTGAAGCCAAGAGCCAGGAGCTTCTTCTGGGTCTCCCACGCAGGTGCAGGGGCCCAAGGACTTGGGCCATCTTCCGCTGCTTTCCCAGGCCACAGCAGAGAGCTGGGTGGGAAATGGAGCAGCCGGGACTCAAACTGACACCCATATAGGATGAAGGTGGCGGTCTAACCCACTAAGCCACAGCTCTGGCTCCATAACTAAACCTTAAAAAAAAAAAAGGTTCATTGTATAGGGGAGCCTAGTGGAAGGAGGCCAGGTCCCCGGGCAGGGGTCGCGGCGTTCCCAGGAGAGTGGGCTGCTAGAAGCAGAGCAGGGCTGGCCGTCCTCCCGCCAGCCCCCGTCTTGCTGTGCGCCTTCTTCTGCCTTGTTCCTGCTCCCGCGGAGCTGTTGCCGTACAGGAAGCAGACCGAGTCCGTGGTCAGCCAGGGGCCTGGCCCGGGTGCCTTTCCTTTCTCAAGGCTTCAGTGGCCCAAGAAGCAGGGTTCCTGCTGCCATCAGGGCATGGCCCGAGGCCAGGGCCGCATGACTCAGAGGACGCTGAGCCGAGCCCGGGGTGGGGGTAGGGGTGGGGTGGAGGACCCTGGAGCCCGGGGGGGGGTGGCAAACAGGACTTGTCCGTAGGCACCTCCAGTTTGTGCAGCAGAGCTGGGGCTGGAGCTGCACTGAACCCGGGCTCTGCCCCCACGCGGCCATGACGGACAGCCACAGAGTAGCCCACGGGGCTCACCCCAGTTCGCGGTCGTTCTGGTCCGTCCTGCACCTGCTGGGAGCTGGGTTTGCGCAGGCCAGGCCCTGGGAGACGGGATGAAAAGAACGGCGCGTTTGTCAAGCATCTCCCACGGAACTCCTTGCCACGGAACTCTCTCACAGGGCAGGTGCATCCTACACCTTTCATGGAAGCGGAGCGTGCACGTAACACCCCCCACACCCCTTGCTTTGTGACTTGGGAGAAGCCGGGACTTGAACCCAGCACTCTAGTTCCAAAGCCAGCTGGTTCGTGGCCGCATCAACAGGTGTCCCCGGGCCCCCAAGACTGGACTCGAAACTCTGTTTGGGGCCAACATTGTGGAGCAGCCGAAACCGCCGCCTGTTACACTGGCTTCACATGGGCGCCGGTTCATGTCCCGGCTGCTCCACTTCCGGTCCAGCTCTCTGCTGTGGCCTGGGAAAGCAGTGGAAGATGGCCCAAGTGCTTGGGCCCCTGCACCCAGGTGGGAGACCTGGAAGAAGCTCCTGGCTCCTGGCTGCAGCCTGGCTCTGCCCTGGCTGTTGCCACCAGCTGGGGAGTGAACCAGCGGATGGCAGATCTTTCTCTTTCTCTGTGTGTCTCTGTATCACACACACGCACACACACACACACACACACACACACACACACACACTGCCTTTCAATAAAGCTTTAAATAAAGAAAACAAAACTTTGGTCAGTGCCGGGCTCTGAC